ATAGGTGGATAAAAATGCCAAATCCAGTCTAAACATCTGACTGACTGTGTGACCAACAATACTAAATTTATATACCCCTGGATTTTCAGGGCCTTATGGAAAGCCAGCAAAGGCAGGGGTATCTGAATCTAGAGAGGAACGTTGTCCCATAGGGCAGGCACTGTGACAGAGAAATGTCTCCTGGGTCCTGTCAAGTGGCTTTGCTTTATAGATGGGACCCAAAGCCTGGGGGGATGAACACAGAAAAATGGAGATAGGCAGTCCCATAAATAACTCAGCCTTGTGCCATGAATGGCCTTATAGATTATAATCAGCCTCTTGAATTGCGCCTAGAAGCTTATAGGAAGCCAATGCAACTCATGAAGTGATGGTGTTACATGGCCATATTGAGATGTACCCATATTAATTACATCACTACATTCTGGACCAATTGCAAATTCTGAATGATTTTCAAGGGCAGCCCCACGTAGAGTGCATTGCAATCATCCACACGGGAGGTGATCAAGGTATGAATGACTCTGAGCAGGACCTGCCAGCGCAGGAAAGGACACAATATCTTTGTGAGAAAAAATGTCTTAAATCCAAAAAAAAGGAGGAGGAGGAGGAGGAGGAGGGTCAGAAGAAGACCCCAAAGACAAAAGAAAAACCTGGGAATGAACACAGTGTTGTGGCATAGTACATGAGCCCCCCCCCCCCATCACCATTAAAAAGGAAACATGCCACATGGGAGAATAATGCTGTCATTGGTTTCTTGTCCTTGTCATTGGCTACTGCTGGCATAAAAAACAAAGCTAGTAATTGCTGCCAGATGTTGGTGCACTGGATACTGCAGTATTTTTTGTTGGCTTTCCACAAGCCAAACCACTATAATGTACAAAATGTATTTCTTAATCAAAGACCATTATTTCTGAATATCTCCTTCATGGTGTAATAAAATAACACTATATTGTCAGAAGAGGTGATGTTCAAGTACAGTGTGTACTTTCAAATGAACCAATTTTAATTTCCAAATGTCAGTAGAAGAGTTGATCTTCCTTCAACCCACAAAGCATTTAAAATATCTCTTCGTCTGTTTTGGCAATATTTAAAAAGGAATTAAAATAGCACAGGCAACATTCCACATGGCAGATCACTTCAGAACAATTCTGTCAGATACATTGAAAAAAATATATAGAACTATTTGGATTTGGCTCCAATCTTTCATTCTAGAACTCCTTAGCCTATCAGATGTGTCTGTCTGCCTATGCTGTTACAGCAGTGCAAAGCACTTTCATGTTACATTGATATTTTCCGCACTAAACTCTTAAAGTGTAGCAAACACTGGATACCTGCAAAGTGGTATCTGGGCTTTGTTCATACACTTGCTTCCCCTTTGTTTTGCTACATATAATGCCTTATTCATCCATTGCAAACACAATTGCTACATTAGGTCACACACCACACTAAGCCATCGTTTGCTTTAAGCATGATTTGTAGAACAAACTATACAGTCTAGTGAATTTAGAGAACAGTCCTAATTCATAAAACATGGTGAATACATCACAGTAGCTAAGCTAAAACTGAACAAATCATGCTATGGCTTAACATGATAAATAAACTCAATCCTTGTGAAGCTTCATCTCTTTCTAACCCCCTTTACGAACAGAATGTAAACAAAAGGGTTGGGTCTCTGGATACTGGAAGACATTAAGGCACATGGTATTCTGAGTTTCTTATTTGTATCTCATAAGTCAGCATTGGAACAACATAGTTGGACTGTTAGTTTTTGACATAAATGACCAAAGTTTTGTATAATTATTCATGGTTATTACTCATTCTCTATCTGTGACATGAGAAGAATGGTGATATGGAGATCATTATTATTTCCAAGTTGGTCCCACAGATTAAGACATGCCCAACATTGAAGGAGAACTTTTATTGAATCAGCTAAACACTGGAATCAAAGTTTTGCACTTATATGCCAAAGGTTTTGAAATATATTTGTACCATTGTCCCTGTTAGCAAAGAGATTATATTTTCTGGAAATATGAAGGTCAATGGTGGGAAATTGATACTCCCAGATCCTTAGTGAAAGTCCTTGAAGAAAACTTGAAACTTAGCAAAATCAGTTTTTCCTATGGCTTATTTTGTTTTGGCACTGGCATAAACAAATACAGATGGAACTCTCAAGTGAATCCCAAGATGGAAAAAAGTTTTGAGATACAAAATACAATATTTTTACTGTGTTGGATTTTTATAAGATGATTTTAAAACAGTTGTCTTGGTGACCTCCACATCAGATAAAGACAGAGCTAGAGGTCCCTTTTGGATTGTCTAAGATACAGATAGTCCCCAGTTTAAGAATCAGTTCTGTTCCCAAGGTCTGTCCTTAAGTAAAATTTGTATGTAAACCAGAACAGTATTATTGTATAATACTGTATAAGTAATATTGTGCAATGAACTCAAACCATTGTGTATTTAATTTGAATCATTGTGTATTTAACTCAAATTTTGCTGCAGTAGGCTCCATTCTTAACTATGGGTTGTCCCTAAACCGGGCGTTCTTAACTCGTGGATTACTTGTACAGGTTTCATTTCCTTCAGAGAACAAGTCATTTAGCACAGGTGAGCTTCTCCCAATAAGGGTAGACAGTAGTGAATTGGCTGGATTACCAGTCTGATACAAATGCACTAATATGATAAACCTGTTCCTAGATTTCAGGTTGTCAATATGGGAATTACATAAAATTTCCCTGTATGTAGAAAAATAGATGTGAGGCAGAAAGGTTTGGAAAGCCATAAATAACCAATCTATATTCTTTTTTATTTAACAGAACCACCCAAAGCTATTGTATCACCCAAGAACCAGTCATTTACTGAAGGATCTGAGGTGTCTGTCAGTTGTTCTGCAACAGGTTACCCAAAGCCCACTGTGGTGTGGACACATAATGATATCTTTCTCATGGCGTCCCACAGGTATGTTTAGGGTGTCTCTCCCCCTACCCTCCAGCAATTTTGCCTTTACTGAGAGGAAACTGAATGAAACTCTCTTGACTGAAAAAAATATCAACAACTTATGAACTTCAATAAGCAGAGGTCTTCATTGTCCTTATTGCACAATTTCAAAACTCTGCTGGCCTGCCAAAACATTGCATACACAGACACTTCTAACTATGTCATTTTCTTGGATCATGAATGGTACTACCTGATAATTTGCATTCTCTGAATGTATGTGTGTTAATGCCTTTCATGCTTGCAAAGGCCTATTTGAGGAAACATGGGAAGGACCAGATGAACTGCCCATAAGCAGGAATGGCATGTAAATGGCTCTCAAGTTGTATGTTGCCAGTGCAGTAGAAAATAAGGGGATGAGGTGGTGTTATAACAGATCTTGTGTGCTGGTGCTTTCTGAGGAGTGGGCTGAACCAGCATGAGCCCTACCAGGTAGCAATGTTAGAAGATGGGCAAGGCATCAGAGCAGAATAGGCAATCTGAGGTCCTCCAAGTGTTTTTGATTTTTTCTCTCATCAGTCTTAACCAGCATAGCCAGTGATAAGGGAATAGGGAATATGCCCCAGACAGACCCAGTGCATAATTTGGGGGTCCTCCTGGACTCACGGCTCCTGCTTGAAGAGCAGGTGGCAGCCGCGGCCAGGAGGGTTTTTGCACAGCTTCGGGTTGTGCACCAGTTACCCCCCTTCCTG